ATGCTTTGCTTTTCTCTGTCTCTCTATCACTGACATGTCACTGGCTTGGTGAGCTCTTGTCCACCTTTGTCAGTGCCAAGCACTTCTCCAGCTGATCTCCACAGTGGCCATGGTGCTGGTGTCATTGGAAATATCCCTGTATTATATCCCATATCAGCTTCCATGCACTGGCCAGCCCTGCTTGGAACCCAGACATGCCTAACCCAGGGCATTCCTTCCTGAAAACACAGTGACTGCAGAATGGGATGGTTCTGCAATGTCTTACAGACACTGTGTGTAATCCGTCATGGGCAATCCACCATCGTGTGCAATCCTTCTCATTTCCTTCTCATTTCTGTTAGTGTCCCTGCCCCTCTTGGAGCCCTATTCTCCCAGACAGAAGGCTGTGACCCAAACACCTGCGAGCATATCTGTGATTAAAGGCATTTCTCAAAGAGTTCAGTCAAGGGAAGAAAGCACCAGCACTTACATCATCACACCAGATGCTGACAGCAATGTTGGATTAAGATGATAATAATAGTATAATGATAATGATAATGCTGGTGAGAATGGAAGCAAAACACAACAACTGGTACAAGTGGAAGTTTCCTGCCACACTGCTTTCAATTCCCAAACTCCTCCACTGCTGGGAAGTCTCTGTTAAGACTGAGTGTTAGATTCTCTGCAGCTCTTGGCTGCACATATCCAGATCTGCCTAACCCCTCCCGCAGCAAGGAGCAGACACTTGCACCCTGAGTGGCACTTTGCTGAGGATGCCCTGCTGAACTTGGGCAGACCAGGCCACAGGCAGTTTGCTTATGGTTGCACAGAGCCTTTTGAATCAGCTGCACCTAGAAAAGGGAAACACGCAGCCCAGCTGGTCTAGCACAGCCCAGGCCCTTGAGAGGAAGCAGGTTTCCCTCTGTGCCACCATGGCTGCACCTGAGCTGAGCAGTGAGGGGCCCCTCTGTGCCAAGCCTGCATTACCTGACACGGGCTGAAATGTGCCAGCTTGCACACTGCAGCACTGTGCTGGGGCAGTGATAGCCCTGGAGTGGGATTGTGGTTTTGTGTTTCTTTTTGCTGTGAGTTGGACTTTGGTGATCCTTGTGGGTTCCTTTCTGGTCAGGGTATTCTATGATTTTAGCCACAGCAGGATGGGCCACATGACACTTGTGCCCATTGTCAGTCTCTATTTTAATAGCCTACAGGTAATGTTAGGGGCATGACAGAGTCCTGGACTTCCAGAGAAACTACTGTATGCAAACAGATGTCAGACTGACTTAGCTGCTGTTAATGCTCACCTGCTGCCCCTATTACCTGTTGGTATTGAGGGTTTCTGCACATTTCTGTGTCAGAAGTGAAGCACAAGCATACTTCTGGCAGGTCAGGCACTCCTACCCTGACACAACCTGAAGCAATTGCTCCAAAAAGGCATTTTTGCCCTGTGGGAAACACTGCTTTGCATAAGGCAAGGGGGAGCCAGAAGAGTGGAGATTCTTGTAAGTGCTCCAGCTCTGCTCATAGGCCCACCAGCAGCCAGTCTCATCTCTGTGCAAGAGTGCAGGATCGAGATTCTTCCTCCAGCCCCAGGCCAGCCCTGACAGCACCCCCAGCTGCAGCAGAGCACAGACAGCAGCTGCCTGCACTGAGGGCAGAACTTGTGTCCAGGCATGGCCAGGCTGAGCAGCTCAGGCCCGCTGACACCGGCAGGCAGAGGGCTCTGCACAGGCTGCAGCATCACTACACCCAGCATGCAGGCGCCAGCACCACCCCACATCCTCCCCTTGCCCTGAGAACCCTCTTGGCAAGGGCCAGCAGGCGCAGCAAGGTTCCCACAGAGCACAGGCTCCTTGAGATGCCAGAGTCCTTTGCTGGAGGGGTGTCACTCTCCCACTGAGGCAGGTGCAGCACACAAGGACATCCAGGTGAGAAGCACATCCCATGCCTCAGGCCTGCATTCTTGCTGCAGCATCCCTCTCAGCTGCATGGCACAAACACAGCAGTTGTTGTGCTTGCTCTTGGGCATGAGCCCTTCTGACACCTCTTCCACACCTGCACAGCTCTGCAGGATGGAGACCAGGGCTAGCAAAGGGGGGAGTGAAGGGAGAAGGAGGCTTGGCCCTTCTTCCCCCATCATCCTCGGTGAATCCCCCAGAGCACTTATGGCCCAGCAACCTCTCTTGTCCCCAGAACAGGTCCTGACCCCAGTCTCCTATGCACCCACCTGTGGACAAAAGTCTCTTTTGCTCTTTTCTCAGTGCTCGACAAGGATTGTTTAGCCCCACTTCAGAAAGCTCTGTCTTTCAGACAGGAGATGCTCAGCACTTCCCAAAATGTGTCAGGTGTCCATCCTGAAATCAGCGCTGCTCACCTGAGCAGCTGCTGCTGGTGCAGTGAAACCAGCCCCTACACACAGGCTGGCTGTCAGCACTGGATGGAGCACTCAGCTTGCTCTGACCAGGGCTCTTGCTGCCCTAAAAGCAGACCCTGCTGAGAGCAGGCAGCCCATCGTGGTCACTCTGTGCACTCCTGCTGCCCATCTGCACCTCTGCAGCCCTCCCTGAGGTGTAGGGCTGGGCACACCTGCCCCCGGTGCACCTGAGGAGGCAATTGGCAGGTGCTGCCCGGCATCCTCCACTGCTGAGGCTGCAGCAGCTGCCTGGTCTCACTGCAGGACAGCCTGCTCCTCATGCCAGTCTCCAGTAGCATGTCCTTTAACCAAAAGTGAAAGCAACTGATCCCCCACCAAGGCACATCTGCTCCATGTCCCTACTACAACAGGGGAAAAAATGACACCTTCAGCTATAAAAACCAATAAAGACTGTCTGATTTGGTTTGCCCCTGTTGCTACCCAGCAAGCTCCCCACTGGGTTAAATACTGGTGACATCTGCTAATAAAACGTCACGAGTGAGGAGAACAAAACTGATTACTGAATTATATCAAGTGCTCAGTGCAGCTGGGAGGGCAAGTCCCTCGCACCTCAGCCCCAGGCCGAGGGCAGCCAGGACACGTGTACAGCCCTGCACAGCCAGTGGCTCCAGGAACGTGTGCAGGGAGGCAGAGCAGCAGGCACTCACCTTCCAGCAGCTACAGACAAAGGACACAGTGCCGGGGGTCTCTGGGGAGAGCGCCTCCCCAAGTCAGGAAATGGCTAAATCAGCTCTGCCACCTGGGCACCCAGGTCATCATACAGGCCAAACTCAGGTGACATGCTCCTCCTCCTTATATCAGAGGAATGTGTAGCAGGCACAGAGCCCTGGGACTCCTCCACGAGCACAATGCCCCCACCCAGACCCATCCAGAAGGACCCTGTGGTCAGCAGGACAGGGAGGGTGCTATGGATGCTCCTGGGGCTCCCCACTAACAGACAAAGGTGTGGGAGTACCTGACTGTGCCTTTCCAAACCTGCAGCCCTGAGCCTATTACAAAAGCAGTTTAAGCAGCCTGCTGAGGACAGCATTATTGTCCAGCCCAGGAGCTCAAACCCCATGACTCATCCTGCCAAACTGAGGGGGTTGCTTCAGCAATCACATGCACATTTCTGAATGTGAACTGAGAAAAGCTGAGAAGGTTCTCAGCTCTTCTTCTGGAACTGCTTTTGCTTTTCAAGGAAACACTTAATCCTTTTCTCTGCAGTTAAAGCAGTGTCTTCTGACAGACACCCAAAAAATGTCTCTGTGGCAGAGGAGCCATGTGGCATCAGTACAGACTGTCTCCTGACCTGGCTGATAAAAACTTCTACCCTACCTGCTTTAATGCAAACATTTAACTATGCATTTATAACCTGGATTTGGAAAAAAATAAACAGGTGTATAATCACAGAGTTAAGTAACAATAGTAAATTTAGCAGGAACCTGAGCACAAAGAGCTTTATACTTCCACCATCAAATTAGTTCCCATGTGGCTAACATTGGCCCCCCAGCCTCTTGCAGTTTTTCTCCCAGTTCAGTAAATCTGGGTGTACTCTGCAACCCGATCATGTGTTTCACTAAAGGATGCACTGGCACGTGACCCTGTTTGCACAGCTCAGGCACTAGGCTGCTGATTTTAGCTGTGTGTCCCCCAGGGGATGGGGGTGGGTTGGGGGTGCCACTGCAGCTCCAGCTCCTCCAGGAGGGTTTGGGCAGCAAGGGGCAGGGGGGCAGTGCAGGGATCTGGACCTGCTCTGCTTGCAGGGCACTGCTGGACCCGCACCAGCAGCAGGAGCTGAGGAACGTGGATGCTCCTCAGCAAGAGGCAGGAGGCTGTTCAGCAGGAAAGGCACCCCTCCTCACATGCCCTCTGCATCCTCTGCTGAGACAGCCCCACTGCAGTTCTGGTGTCCCCTCTGCCATACAAATTGTGTCCACAGCCATGGCCTCAGCTTCTCTATGTAGGTTCTTTCAAAATGAAAGTAATGCTTTAAACTAAAGGTACTTTAAAAAGACACCAGCAGAGAATTTCTCCTCTTGTAGCTTCCGCTCCACCTCTGGTGCCTTTCTGTCCAAAACATTGTTTTCAGGAGGATGCAGAACAAAACAGGACCATACACTCTGTGGATCTGAGGAGTGTATCAGCAATATCCAACCCCAACTGGACTGTGCTTACTCCCACCCTTCAAGACTGACACATGTCCCTGGTGAAGCAAGTCCTGGGAGAAGCAGCACAGCTAATGTCTATGCAGTTAATTTTCTGTCACTTTGCAGATATTTCCTATTTCAGGCAGCCACAGAGTCAACGCAGCTGTGTCTCTTCCCCTATTTACTGGCAGGAGGGAAAAGTTCCACGGTGTGGAGGAAGGCCTGGCTCCAAACTGACACGCTGCCATAGCCTTCCAAAACACCTGGAGAAGGCCCTGCTCCCGGCCTCTGGGTCACTGGGATGGTCCCTGGTTGTCTGTGACCTCGGCAAAGTCCAAACGGCCCTGCAGGGGTTGCCCAGAGCCCCGTCACAGCACAGTCCCCAGCACCCAGCCCTGCCCAGCCCCGTGCTGAGCAGCAGGCACTCCCCAAACCTCCCCAAACCCGGCTCCCGCTACCTTCGTCCCGCTTGCGCTTGTTGCTCTCGGTGCCGGGGGAGGCGATGCCCAGGATGCCGCTGATGGAGTAGGACGAGCCAGCAGAGTCAGTGCTCACGGAGGACACCTGGGTGACCGATCCTGTGGAGGCTGCAAGGCAAGGGCAGGCCGTCAGTCACCAGCTCACCCAAAAGCCCCTGGCCCCGTGGCGTGAAGGAGGCGGGCTGGGGCTCAGCTGGCCATCGTGGCCCCTCCAGCTCAGGAAGAGCCCTCACCCATCCCTGCCGTGCCCATCCACCCCAGCAGCATGCCACAGCAGCCCGGTGCAGGGGTGGCAGGAGAGGCATGGCCAGCCCTTGCCCCATCACAAGGGTTGGGTCTGTGTGCTGAGGACAGGAAATGCTTTTCCTCAGCTGTCAGGCACCCCATCTCACACAAGGCTCGGTGCAAAACCTCATTGCCTGGGACAGCAGAGGCCTTCCAGCGACACAGCAGCCCAGCAAGGTGGCAGAGCTTGCTGGGAGCACAGTCATGCAGAGAGAGGAGCTGCCACAAGAGGGTACCCGGGACAGGAGCCTCCTGGGAGCAGGGCACCCTGCACCTGCTGCTGCACTGTGCTGTCTGCATCCTGTCAGACCACACCACTAACCTCTGGACATGGAGACCCTGCATGGCTGCAGCTGCCTAGGGTTGGATGGCTGAAAGACCCTGAGGTCCCCAGAAAAATGACCCAAACCCACTTTGCTTTGGAAGAACCCTCAGAAAAGGGTCCTGTTTGTGTCCAGCAAGGGCAGTCACTCAAGGGCAGTGTGGATGTGCCAGATTGCACAGCAAACACTGCCCTCGTTATGCAGTGAATGTCCAAGGCTTCACAGGAGCACCCCCATCACCTCCATCAGCTCACAGGCTGAGCCTGTCCTGCCACATCCCTGCATCCTAGAAGTCACCACAGACCCCATGGACAGGGTCACACATGTGGGACCACACCAAAGACCTCCAGACAGGACTCACACAGAGCGAACCCATATCAGGAATCCATGCTCCCTCTATCAACTCCAAGCCCTGAGAAAAAAGATTTTTTTTCTCTGTTCTTGACTTTTTCAAGAAGAGAAACACTTAAGCCACCACAGTGAGATAAAAGGAGCTTTTCTTCCCCAAGATTGTTTTGGCATTTTCTGGAGAGAAAGGCTAAGGGCGCAGGGTCAACAGCATGACTCCTCTGACAAGCTGAAAAAGTGCAGGCTGCTCTGCACCTCCACTCCCTTTCTCCCAGTGCCAGCACACCCTTGCCGAGAGAGAAGCTGCAAGCATTTCACCGTATCACAGGTGACAACATAAAGGCAGAGAGAAACTAGGAGCCCCCACCACTTCCTATGAAGCAAGGGCTGACCAGTGCCCTGATGGGTTTGATGGAACAGGGACAAGAAGAGAGCAGCCCTGAGCCCCTCCATGCCTGCTGCATTGCAGCACTGAAACACCCGCCCCCCTCACAGAGACACTCAGCCAGGAGAAGGGCTGAGGTGTCTCAGCAGCCTGGGGGTCTCCTCTGGGTCACCCTCCACCAGCATCCCCTCCCTCAGGCTGCAGCATCACTGCTCTGAGGCTGAATTAAAAGTTTCAGAAAGTTTGGCTACCTCTTCACTCAAGACTGCAAGTGCACAAAGAACTATGGAAGGGATGGTTGATAGATGGAAAAAACACATTCAAAACTACTTACTGACTAATGATGCAGAAAATGTTATGAATAAGTATCCCTTTCTTGATTTATTACTTTAATTATCTGACATTCTATAGACCCCTATTAGTGGGGTTTTTTTGGTTTAGATTTCAATTTTCTGTCTCATGGTGAAAGCTATTTATCATAATAATCAGTAAAATTCAAAACCTTTTAGCAGTATTTATAAAATTCATTTACTATGTTCAGCCCTTGGAGAATGACAAAGAAGGCACATTAGCACGTGTGCTGAAGTGTTTTATGCAGAATTATCTGTCCATAAGAATGATTAAATGTTCTTCAGAGTATTTGTAATCCATTATTATTTTTTTAATGTATTTTAAAAAAAAAGTTTTCCTTACCTATGCTGTGACTGGAAGCTGGGACCTGCTGATTGGGTGGCTGCTGCACCTTGGTCCTTATGATCCTGTGAGTAATGGAAAAACATGACCACTTAGCATTAGGCATGCAATGGCAGGAGGCATTAGACACTATTTTTTCAGGGCAGGACACCTACATCAATACAAAAAATGCCTTTCTGCATATGTTCCCCTCACCATTCACTACTGAAAGACCAAAGTTTGGTGGGTGGACCCAGGACCACACCTGTGCCCCCAGCCCCTGCCATTAGAGTCATCAGGGTGACATTCCACGGTCACAGAATCACAGAATGGTTTGGGTTGGAAGGGACAACAGTTGGCAGCAGGTCACCTGTCCAACCTCCCCGCTCAAGCAAGCTCATCCCAGCGCAGCCAAGCAGGATTGCACCTGCATGGCTCTCAGCATGCTCCAGAGCTCGGTGCTTGGTGGCTTTGAGGACCCAGTCCTCGCTGCCCGGGAAAGAGAAGCCCACAGCTACCTGGGCAGCCAGCAGGCCAGTGCCCCCTCCCCAGGGAGCTGGGATCCTCTGAGCCCAAAGCCCCACAGGCCGTGGTCTGCACTCTTGGGACACATTTGCGAGGCTAGAGCATACCAGGTTTGGCACTCACATGGCTGGAGGCATTGGACACCTTGGGAAAGGATCACCTCAGCCAATTTTTTTTTTTTTTTACATGTTGGCATAAATGCTAATCTTAAAAGCTGAATGACCACATTTACCATCACTGGGTACATGCAGTCACTGCTGTGATTGATAGTGACGTCAATGAGAAAAAATTCAGAGACACGGGTAAAGCAGAAGGCACGTGTGGTGTGCAGGACAGAGGGTACCTGCCATGAGGGGAGATTCTGGGGAGATGCCACACACGTTATTGACCTGCCCATGTGCTATGAGGAAAGGACAGACAGGGTCAGAAATGCCTCTGGAGGTCACAGAGCTCTGCCTCAGGTGCGGCAGAACTGGAGCAGGATGGAAGGAGCCACGTCCTTGGCTCACCACACACTCCCAGCCAGGCACTGCCACAGCAGCAATGCCAGCGTCAACACTGCCCTCCCTGTGCCTGACAACTCCCCTCCATCCCTGCCAGGAGAGGAGAGGAGAGGAGAGGAGAGGAGAGGAGAGGAGAGGAGAGGAGAGGAGAGGAGAGGAGAGGAGAGGAGAGGAGAGGAGAGGAGAGGAGAGGAGAGGAGAGGAGAGGAGAGGAGAGGAGAGGAGAGGAGAGGAGAGGAGAGGAGAGGAGAGGAGAGGAGAGGAGAGGAGAGGAGAGGAGAGGAGAGGAGAGGAGAGGAGAGGAGAGGAGAGGAGAGGAGAGGAGAGGAGAGGAGAGGAGAGGAGAGGAGAGGAGAGGAGAGGAGAGGAGAGGAGAGGAGAGGAGAGGAGAGGAGAGGAGAGGGCTTGGGGGTGAACCTGCAGGAATTCACAGCAGGCCCTTGCTGGCAAGCCGCCCCTAAGCAGGCCCAGGGACCAGCACTGGTGACACCCAGCTCCATCCCAGAGAAGGATGCACTGCCATCCCCTTCCCTCCCGTTCCCTGGAGGAGTCTGATGGAGGCTGCAGAGGTCTGTCTGTCTACAAGGCACCTTCCAGCTGGCAGCCCCAGAGTGGAGCTGCTGGGTGCCAGGCACACCCAGGGGATGGGTTACAGCCACAGAACAGCCAGCCCAGTGAGAGGGGCAGGAACAGCGGGGACAGCAAAGAGACAGAGCCTGCAGGGCCCAACAGCCCACTGCACAGGGCTGTCATGGTGAAGAAAGGGTGTCCAGGGCCTCCTGACACACAAACATCTTTATCTCTGGAGGAATGGAGACTGCAGCACTTGAAAGCAGCTGGACAGCTCTCAGCTGATTCAAGCAAAGCTAATCACAATGATTAATTAAGTCTTAGCCACACAGGCTTGCTTCTGCTATTGAAGAGTGACCTATTATTAAAATTAATGTTATTAATTAATAATAATTATTATTATTCAGTCTTACATGGAGGCAGCAGCTCAGATTTGTCTGCTGGAAGGCCCACTCAATAGCAGGGATGAGCTGCAGGAGTCCATCCCCATAAACCCCAATGTTCCACAGGAGCAGCATCAGCACCGTGCGAGGGAACGGAGCCCTGACACCGTGGGGACAGGGACAGAGAACTGTGGGGACAGGGACAGAGAACACATCCACACTGAGGGGACAGGGACAGAGAGCACACCTGGCACTGAGGGGACAGGGACAGAGAGCACATCCACACTGAGGGGACAGGGACAGAGAATTGTGGGAAGAGGGACAGAGAGCACATCCACACTGAGGGGACAGGGACAGAGAACTGTGGGGACAGGGACAGAGAATTGTGGGAAGAGGGACAGAGAGCACATCCACACTGAGGGGACAGGGACAGAGAACTGTGGGAAGAGGGACAGAGAGCACATCCACACTGAGGGGACAGGGACAGAGAACTGTGGGGACAGGGACAGAGAGCACATCCACACTGAGGGGACAGGGACAGAGAGCACATCCACATTGTGGGGACAGGGACAGAACACATCCACACTGAGGGGACAGGGACAGAGAGCACACCTGGCACTGTGGGGACAGGGACAGAGAGCACACTCACACCATGAGGACAGAGAACAGAGAGCCAAAGCGGGGTCTCTGTCCTCCCCGTGCAGAAATGGCAACTGCAGCAGGGCAGGAACACTCAGCGAGACCAAGGCTCGGGTTTGTGCTGACCAGGCAGCCCCTCATTGGTACCTCAGTGGTGAACAAGGGTATTGTGGGCAGGGGCTGCATCCTTTCCTTCCAGCAAAGCCCCAAAGTACACACTCGGTGTTAAATGTGAGGATAAACCCCACAGACTGCTAGAACTGCAGGATTTAGGATTAAAGGCAAGTGTTTTGATGTGAATTCCAGGTTCTTTGTCACATTATTGCTCAGTCTGGGTTTTCACGGTGAGCTCCTAAGCTGGCAAAAACAATTCTCTGGGTAAACAGATTGACTCAAACAGATTGCATGCATTTCTTAAAAGGGATTGCAAACCTTTGAGGAAAGGAGAAGATCTTAGCCAGAGTCACAAGCAGATGAGAAAGAATTCGATTTACAACCAAAACTTGGTGACAGATCATGATCTGGGTTTCTGATACAAGAGCAGTAGGGGTGTGGGCATTATGAGTGTGGAAGCATACAAGGAGGAACACAGAAACTGGCTCAAAATATGACTGGAAGCTACTTAAATCTCCCTTTTACCTAGAGCTATGACTGCCTTTTAGGTAGTTTTTTGGAGGACATGGGACATTCTCCTACACAAGCAGAGGACTGCTTATAACAGCCATGCTTCTCTCATGACTTGTTGATGTTAATGGAAGCAGAGCTTTTCCTTAGGTATTTGACATTTTCCTTCGGTTCTCCTGGTGTCTGTAATATTTCTCAAACCCTCTTTAAAGAAAGACACCATGTCCACAGAGTTACTGCATGATGCTCTGGAGCCTCCAAGGCAGGGGCTCCCAAGCAGCAAGGCTGCACATGAGCTGACCCATTTTTTCTTTTAATTCCACCAACCCCTGACTCGACATTTAGTCCATCAGGGCAGAGGCTGCACTCTCCCCTAACGCTGGGGAAGCCACTCCAGCTACTCAAGCGGCAACTCCATGAATGCAAATCAGATTGGGATAGCCAATAAAGGAATATTGCATCAATTTATTTCACGTCTGGACGCAAATGAGAGATTTTATAGCGAGCTGCATTCAAAGAATTTGCATGCAGTTGCACAAGTGAAAATCATCTCACTGGCGTGGTGAGGAGGAAGCCCAGAACAGAGTGAAAATTAACAAACCCTGCTTGCCAGGGCCGTGGGTGCCCAAAAGCTCTGCTGCTCAAGTATTCGTCTCTCACTGTTGCTCTGGCAGGGCTGGAGATGTCACGTAGAATTTCACTGGGTTTTTCCAGCCTTATACATCACTTGACTCAGGGGGAAACCGTGGCCACAGAAGGTGTAATGGACAAGGCAGCAGGTCAGAGCCCCTAACCAGACCTTCCATGAGCCCAGCCCTGACTTGCAAAGCCATGGCAAAACACCCAAACATGGGACTCAGACTCCAAATGAGATTCCCCTGCATTTTCACAAAAGCAGTTCCAGGCCACTTAAGTTCCCCAAGGCAAAAAGCAGACACTACCAACCAAACTCCCCCATTGATATTCACACTGAACACAGGCCAATGCCAGCAGCACAATTGGGTGTCAGGTGACAAAACGGAGCCTCAGCCCCATGCCTTGGGTCCCTGCCACCCTACTCAATGGCCATCTGAGCTTCCCCCCTGGGGAAGCCTGTCCCACTGAACCCTCACCCCACAGAGCAGAGCAGGGGCTTTGCCCGTAGCAAAGGGTCATTCCCAGCAAGGACCTCAGACTCACAAACAGGGAAAGGAAAGGATGGAAAAGAAGCCAAGGCTGGCAGAAGAACCTGCCCACTCCTAGGAAAGCCTGATCATCCGTGGTGCTTCAGCACTCAGGTCAGCCCAGAGCTGCTCCCAGGCCCAGGTGCCCTGGGGAAACAGGTGAGGCTGCTTTTCTTACAAAGAGCCCCGAAGACCCGATGCTGCTAAAAGACAAAGCCATGTGACAGTGCTTCCCCGGAGCAGCCCACCCCAGAGCCACCCCTTTACCTGTTAATGGAGCTGACACTGGGCACGGTGTCGTTGTCACACACCCGCTCAGCAAGGAGTCTGTCCCTGATCTCCCAGGCAAACATGGTGGGATTTTGGCGTTTGTACTCTGCAATTTTTTCAACGACTTTGGGTGTGGCGACCTTTGGTTTTGATCCTCCAATCACTCCAGGCTTAATACTCCCGGTTTCATAATACCTGGGACAACATCCAAAACAAAGCTTTGGTTATCACACACCGACAGAGAACATGCTCTGAGATTTATAGAGAACATCATTTCAAGGTAACCAAACCCCAGCAAATCCTGAGATACATCTTCACTTTCACATACACATTTCCTGCCTGTGTGCTTCTTTATCACCTAATAGATTAACTTATAGTAATTGGAATTGGGCCTCAGGATACAATATATATTTTTCTGTAATAGCAAGACAAAAGAAACAACGCAAGATTAAAGGGCATGCTGAGATCCAAAATTAACTGAAAATGTGTGTTATTAATCAGCAGTACTGGCAATAATAGAAACAAATCACACCAAAGACCACTTTTTGCAGTGGACTCTTTTGTAGCAAATTACTCTTTTTACAGAAATGCTGTCATTAATATCTACAGCTTGTTATGACTGAAAGTGAAATAAAGGCTAGATATTGTATTTTATTTGCACCTCTGGAATAAATACACCAGCATATCTTTTTCCTGTTTTATTATTTTAATATGCATATTATGGTTTTAATAGTTCATATTTTTCAAAATTTATTCTTTTCATCATTACGTTTTCAGTAGTTTCAATAACAAATTTTGAGGGAAAGGGAGCTGCTCATGCTCCGGAGGGGTCCAGCTGAGGCAGGGTTGGTTTCTGTGACCAGCCCTTCCTCGGGTGCAGCGTCTTCCCCACTACCAGCAGCTCTGCTGATGCCAGAAAAGGTACCACCTTTCTGGTACCACCTTTCTGGTACCACCTTTCTGGTGCCACCTTTCTGGTACCACCTTTCTCCACCCAGGAAAGGTGGAGAATGAGATCCCTAAACCAATATAAATCCGACCAATTTTCCACATGTACATCACACAAGATCAACTGCTTTTGGTAGCTTGGCCATAACCCGTGGCAGCCAGGATCCCTGGGCCTGCCAGTCTCCCCCTTTAGTGTAGTCTTGCCCATGCTGTGAGGAGCAGAAGCCACATCTCACGTGCCGAGGGCCAGAACAGAGACCGAGAATGAGACTCTGCTGCTCCGTGCTGCAGCCAGGGCGTTCCACGCAGGAGGCTCTCTCACAGCCCTGAACTTATTTGCATCTTGTGAATTTTCACATGGCCAGATGAAAAATAAACCCCAACTAATAAGCTGCCACCCTGGCTGCCTTAATCCTGCACCCCGTTCCACACAGAGCAGCCTCTCACCCACCAGGTGCCCACCGGGCTGCGCCTGCAGCAGTTCAGTCACAGCTGCTCGCTGCCCTGTGCCCCCATTCCTAGCTCAGAAAAAACTCACAAGCACGAAGACAAGAATGCTTATTAATGTATTTTCCCTGCAACTATCTGACATAACCATTAAAAAAAAAAAAATCTCCCATCTTTTGAGCCTGAGCAGAGCACAAACAGCCTGTGCAAAGTCTGCCTCCCTGAAACACGCAATCACGTTCATCAAATTTTTGCCAGGCTACCTGTTCTCAGTGCTTCTGAGACAGCTCTGACACCAAATTGTTCACACATGTTCTCAGATACTTTGTGTGTAAATGTTGACTCAGGGCTACCAGTCTCCATGATATTCATGCAATATCAATAATAGCAAGTGTTGAATGTTAGAGATGGACTAACCCTCCTTCTGCCCCTAAATGCTGTAAGCTTTAAGGCAGACAGGAAAAATTTAGTTCCCCTTGCACTTCCATGAGGACATGACAAAATAACGGCAAACATGGCCCATAAACCTTCTAAAATCTTGCACCTCTTGCCTCAAAACCTTGAGGCTGAGATTGCTGGCACTGCTTCTTTGAGGAGGATGTAGAACGCAGCCAGGCAACACTACAGATGCTACCAGACAACAACTCACAATTTTCTTAGATCTAGTCAAAATTGTGGATTTCACAAATGTTTCTTAGTGCTTTCTCGCAACAGAGCGCAGGGCAGTGCCCTGCAGTCCAGGGCAGCCTGGCCAAGAGGAGCACACCCAGCAGGACAGGATGCTGTGCCTGTGCAGACCGGCCACGGCTTTCCCATGGCTGAGCTCACGCAGGAAAGCCAGAGAGGGCCCTTGCCACCCCAGTAGTGCAGCTGTGATGAGCTCACCAGGGGACAAAGCTCCGGTTCCTCAGAGCAGCCAGACCTCTCCTCTCCGAGCCTTTGAGCTCTGCCCACCTGCCCGCTCTGCTGGCTCAGCCCAGCCCAGGCACAGAGGAGCCCAAGGAAGGCTTGCCCCAAAGGGAGGCACAGGATTGAGCCCAGATGCCTCCCTGCATGCAGGGGGAAGGGCATGGCCCTGGGGACACGTGGGGACAGTCCTCACCCTGCTCTGACACCAACATCCCCCTCCTCTCCCCAGCAAGGAATCTGGGTGCAGTCGTGTTGTACGGCACGAAATTGCACAGTCACAAAGCCTGCAGGCTGCATGGCCCCAGCATTTCTGACTCCCATCCTCATTTTAAGGGCGGGGATCGCTGCAGCCAGCACTATTCCATGTGCATCGGGTCAGGGCCTTTTGCTCCAGAGAGCTGCAAAGGCAGGTGTAGGGTGGGCACCACCACAGCACCCTCCTCTGAGGGTTAAGAGCTTCACTTGCCCTGCAACAGCTGGTTACCTGCCTCTGGATGGATTTTTAAAACTGCATCTAGTACTGAAAAATCCTGATAACAAAATTCCAAATGCAAGGATTTATCATAAGGATTCCCACCTACACACATGCACACATGCAAGAAAACATATACACACAGAGATGCAATTACGGAGACATTTTACCCACTGTAATTATTAGTTAGGAAAATAATGAGCTATGAAATTCCAATTTATTGCTGACAACTTTAATGACAGAGCTCTAGAACCTCACTCTGAGCTCCATAGTGCAAATACATCTAACAGCAGACCTAATTGCCAAAAGTAAAACCATCAGACTTCTGCCTGGATAAATACATTGCCTGTTTCCAAGCTGTGTGCTGGTCCTGATGGGAATTGGTGGAGTTCCAATGCAAGAGTGAGCACCACTGGCCAGACCCCACCAGCCAGGCAGGAGCAGGAGCTGTAACTGGGTGAAACAGCCCGCGGTGGGCAGCACAAAGCCCATGGAAAGTTCTCCTCTCTACACCAGTTCTAGGCGTTAGTGTTCTCAAAACCCCAGAGCTGCATGCAGGCTGCAGGGAAGGCACATCCCTGAGGAAGGGGGAGAGGTGGAGCAGGAGCGCCGAGGGCAGCCCTGGCACTGGAGCTGCTGCTCGCCAGCTTGGCCAGGCAGAGCTGAGATGGTTGTGTGGAAAACAGCGACAAGAACTGGGACCTGTGATCCTGACAGACCTGAACACTGACACGGGCACTGGCTGATCCACACATCCCCTGTGCGTTGCTATAAATTAAACGCCTTAATAATCATCTTTGCAGCTATGCTATGTTTGTAAGGAACTGGAAAAGAAATTTAAAATAAAAAGAGTAAAATGCTAAACAATGAAATCAACTGTGAAATCACAACAAACAACTTAATAATTAACTTTTCCAGATGATAAAGAAAAACGCTTTGTAAAAAAAAAATCCCCTTAATATAAGTTGCCCAAGTCTGTAAGAATACCTGGGGTTCAAAACCATTTGAAAATGGTAATTTACACAAATTAAGTTTAGGCCTGTTACAGAAGATTAGGAAATCAAAAAGGGAAAAAGCAAGCTTGGCATTTTTACCTGAATCTGCACCAAATTTTAAACGGCCATCAGGAATAATATTAATTCAAAGTAATTCAGAATGATATTAATATCCTGTTGCCATAGTGTTTGGAGCAGCTCTTGACCGAACAGAGAGCTACTCCCAAAGTAGCCAAAATACCTTTAAGATGGTTACTAGTTACTCATGGTGTTCTGTGCTCTCTTAATCCAGTAGAAGACTGGAAAAAGATGTTTGATTATAAACAGTGGGATAGACTGCAGAATAGCTTGCATGAATGCACGTGCCGCAATATTGATGAAATATATAATGATAATATTGTTTAAAAGGAGCTCTACTCAGGAAGCAAAACAAGTAATTTCCACAACTTCTACTTTTTTCACATTTTGCTGAATATGACTCCCAGATGTTCCTTCCTGTTCAGAGCAGACGAGTGCAGGACATACACTATATATATATATATATGTATATATATATATATACACACAGCAAATAGTCATGGCGTTCTGCACTTTGCATTAGAATTAGAACCTGTAACGGGGGCTAACAAGACCCACAGATACTGGCTGTTTCTTTCCACATCAGACACACAAAAACACGGCTCCTCGGGAGGGGAGCTCCCCGTTTGTCCGCAGCCTCCAGCTCTGGGGCTGGCACCGCCACCTCTGACGGACACGGAAGGATTCGCCGTCCCCCTTTACCTGCGAGTATTTTGCTGACACAGCCGTGGCTGACGCGGAGCTGCCGGGAGATGTCACACGGCCGGACCCCTTGGTGGGCGAGCTCCACGATCCTTTGGCGAACGACATCTGGGAGAGGGGCGGCCGTTCACAAAAACACCCCCCAGCTGATTCACGCCTCCATGTCCTGAAACACACGGGGAGGGGGTAGAAGGGCAGGACAAGCGCTGTGAGAGAGTTGCGGCTGTCCCGGCAGGGCAGAACCGCCACCCCAGAGCCGCCTCCCCAGAACCGGCCCGATTTGCCCCGGCGCAGCGGGGAGGTGACCCGAGCGCCGCAATGACACGAGCTGTGAGGAGGGGCAGGACCCTCCGGCCCGAGGGGACATCGGGCACGGGGAGCCCCGCGGTGACGCCGCAGCGGAGCAGCCTCCGCCCGGAGCCGCGCAGCGCCGGGGCAGGCCCCGAGCCGTCCCGGGGAACGGAGGGCTCCTCGGAGCCAGAAATGAGGCTGGGGGGGCACTCGGCCCACGTACTGCCTCTGCCCAAGCACAGAAAGACACCTGAAATTACACACGCTGTGTTTTTGTTTTGGTTCTCCCAGATGCCTTGAATTAATCAGGTGGAGGAAGGGGAAAAGAAAGAGAGAAAGAGAGAGAAAAAAAGGGAGAGAAGGAGAGAAAGAGACAGAGAGAAAGAAAGAGAGAAAGAGAGAAAGAGGAGAAAGAGAGAAAGAGAGAAAGAGAGAGAGAAAGAGAAGAAAGAAGAGAAAGAAGAAAGAGAAAGAAAGAAAGAAAGAAAGAAAGAAAAGAAAGAAAGAAAGAAAGAAGAAAGAAAGAAAGAAGAAAGAAAGAAAGAAAGGAAAGAAAGAAAGAAAGAAAGAAAGAAAGAAAGAAAGAAAGAAAGAAAGAAAGAAAGAAAGAAAGAAAGAAAGAAAGAAAGAAAGAAAGAAAGAAAGAAAGAAAGAAAGAAAGAAAGAAAGAAAGAAAGAAAGAAAGATATTCTGCTCCTAGAATTTACAGCTGTCTTGGCTGATATTGTGATCCCACAAATAAAACATGAACACTTGGGCAAGCCTGGTGTATGACTCCCTTTTGAGCAAATTTTCGCTGTTCACGTTTAGCAAAGTGAATTATATATCTGATGGGATCCAGGACCCACTTGGAGGAATAGCAGTGAAGCTGTGTCAACCCCATGAACACACATTAATCCCCCGTACTAGAAGGTAATATAATTAACCCTTATGTTGTTATTCACCCGACTACTTATATTACAGAGGGATAGAGAAGCTAAAAACAAGCCATAGAGATAGTACAGATGCCAATTCTGGAACAAAAGTAATACAGAATATGTCTCTGTTCAAGCAGGATTGGAACTGTACTGACTAAGCTGGCAAGCCAAATGCCTCAGTGTTTAAAAAAATTTATACAGTGCTATTTTTATTTTAATCTTGTTATTTCACTATTGATAAACTGCTGTCAAACTTCGCAAACACGTTGTAACACTGTAAGGGCACATAATGAACCCGCACGAAGTAGGCGATGTTCAAGGCTGTGGCGAGCAGACAGGAGCCTGCTGTGCCTTCAGCGGAGCGGGAGAGGCGGACTCTGCCAGCGGCCCGCGCTTCCCTGCGTGCCCGGGAGCACACACCGGCCCCGGGACCCTGCCCGGTGCGTGCCCGGGACACCGAGACTCGGGTGAGACAGCTCCGCGGCGGCGGAGGCAAACGGCACCTGCCCGGAACGAGACCTCGGCTCCGCAGGGCTCTGAGTGAGAGGAATCGCGCACAGTTTGAGTGGGAAGATCCTGGAGTGGTGGTCGGGCAAGGGGGGAAGGAAGGAGAGGAAGGAAGGAGAGGAAGGAAGGAGAGGAAGGAGAGGAAGGAAGGAAGGAAGGAAGGAAGGAAGGAAGGAAGGAAGGAAGGAAGGAAGGAAGGAAGGAAGGAAGGAAGGAAGGAAGGAAGGAAGGAAGGAAGGAAGGAAGGAAGGAAGGAAGGAAGGAAGGAAGGAAGGAAGGAAGGAAGGAAGGAAGGAAGGAAGGAAGGAAGGAAGGAAGGAAGGAAGGAAGGAAGGAAGGAAGGAAGGAAGGAAGGAAGGAAGGAAATTAGAGAAAAATAAAAAGCAACAAAAAGAAAGGGAAAGAACAGGAAGAAAAGGGTAGAGAAGGCATCACTAAGACGTGCCTCCCTCAGGGAAGGAGCCGAGCCTCCCCCTGGAGCCCGTCCCCAGTCCCCGGAGGCTGGCGGGAGCCGGGCCTGCCCAGGCCGGGAGCATCGACCCTCCAGGCGCCGGAAACAAAGGCTGGGGCCCCGGCCGTCCCTTCCTCCAAACCTGCCACAGCCCCGGGCAGCGGCACCGGCGCCGAGCCCGGCTCCCGCCCGCCGGGGCCTCCCTGCCGGGGTCGCGCTCCCCGGCAGCTGCGGACCGGGGGCCCCGTCGGGCCGGGGGCTGCTGGAGCGGCGGGGAAACCGAGCTCCGTCCGCGCCTGGGTGCGGGGAGGAGGCAGCCGCCCCTGCCCTCCGCAGGGAGGGGGCACGGGCAGAGACTCGGGGGCTATTTCGGGAGGGGTAGCCCCAGGAGGGGTCCGCGGGCCTAACCCAGAGCCATGGTGCAGTCGGGCGGGCGGGGAGTGAGGGGGAGCGAAGGGAGGCCGTCCCGGGGACCCGCCGACCCAGCGGGTCGGGGCCGCTCCGACCATGCCCAGCCCGCCTCGTCGTCCTCGCGTCCCTGGACGGAGGCGGCCAGCGGCTCTGCCCACGCGGGACGAGGAAGCAGCGGGGACCGGCGCCAGGAGGGACCGAAATCTCGCTCGGGACCGCCCCGGCCACCGTTCCCCGTGGCCGTGCTGCCCCCTCGCTCCTCCCGTTGCCGCCGGCTCCCCGTCCTCTCCTTTTTTTCAATGGGGTCCCGACCCCACGTCCACCCTCACGCCCCCGAGGAGCCGCGGGTCCGGAGATCGTTTGGCAGCAAATGACCTCGGAGGCTTCCCGGCCGCGATCGGAAAAAAGGCACCGGCGTTTTGGTTTTATTCCCTCTGTTTGCCCAGAAATTCCTGAGGACGACATGGATTTGCCACAGCCGCAAGTGCCGGCAGAGGCGCCGCTGAAACCCGCGGCGGCCGCTGCCGCCTGGGCTGTCCGGCCCCGCGCGGGGAGCCCGTGCTCCGCGGGGTCCCGCGGGCTCCCGTGGGCTGCCCTGGGCTCCCGTGGGCTGCCGTGTCCGCTCGCAGCCCACCGGGGCAAGGGGCGCTCGGCGGCGGGGACTCCGCGCCCGCCCCCCAGCCCGCCCCGCGCCACGCGCTTCCCGACCTCAAAGTTCGTCTTTGAAAAAAAGTGATTCGGTTTAATGCCGGGAGAGAATTAATAAACGCGGAGGTCGACGCTTCACTGCAGCGAGAGGGAAAGTCCGCTTTCACGGGGCGGCGGAGCCCGCCACTGGCCAGCGTCCCAGCCCCGCACAACCCCAGAAATGGAGCGGCGGCGAGAGGGACAGGAAATGGGCCGATGAACGGGGAGCGCGGAGAGGACAAGGGAGAGAGGGAGGCAATCTCCAGCTCCGGAGCTCGGTGGTTTATTTTGCAAACAAATGTCTTTGAGCCGAAAGGCTGCGGTGCACCGGGAAATGAGATTAGTTCTACCTTAAATTCCCTCGCAATCTCTCGCCGTAATGCAGCGTTTAACTCGCCGTGAGAGAAGATGTCATTTCACATAACACTGTGCTAATGGATAAGTCTTCCCCGACCTCTCAAGCACAACAAATCTCGGGCGAACCCATCGCGCACGACCTGTTAACTTCACCGGCTGCCCGCTCCGCCGCCCCACGCCGCGATCGTGACGCCATTCTTCGGGGTTTAAAAAGACAAAAATCTTCCCTCCAGCCCCGCTCCTCGCATTTCGCATTAGTTCAATTTGTTCGGGTTTTTGGGGGGCTTCTATTTGTTTGTTTAGGGCTTTTGGTTGTTGAGGGTTTGTTTTGGTTTTGTTTTGTTTTTTTTTTTCTTTATTTCCAATTAACGAATTTCAAAATGTTGAAAAAGAGAAAGAATATCGTGCAGAAAACTTTTCCGTTCGTCGGAAATACCTGGCGGCTTTTTCCCCGGATATTTGATTTAGGGACAGAAATAAGCATGTGCACATACATGTAACATCTGTGTATTCATCCATGTACACCAGCGCGCGTCCGTATGTACTGATGGCTGTGCATACGTCTAGAGACGTGTTCGTACATCCACCCGTACAGATACACACACGCGCGGTGACATCGGCTCTTTCTCCGCGGGAAAGCAGCCCCCGCAGCCGCCCTCCGCCGGCCGCCCGGCCGTGCCCCGGCACCCGATCCTGCCGGGGCGAGAACGTCGGCGGGCAGCCCGGCCCGGCCGCGCACGGAGGCGATCGCGCGGAGCCCGTCGCGGCCGCTCAGACAAGTTGAAGGGCAGGCACTTACTGTGCATCGCTGCGAACGGGTCGTGCTTACAGTGTATTTCCATCGGAGCGGTCCGGGGCCGGGCGGCCTCGCCGAGCTGATCTCGATTCGCCGGCGGCGCTCGGGTTTCGGGCTGAGGGAGGGAGCCCGCGAAAAAGGACGGAGACCGACCAGAACCGAACAAACAAATAAAAAAAACCCAAACCAACACATAAAACAAAACAAAAACTAAAAACAAAAAAAAAAAAAAGAAAAAAAACAAACCACCAAAAAAACGCTCAAACCAAACGAAACAAACAAAAAAAAAAAAAAAAAGAGAAAAAAGGAAAAAAGGAAAAAAGGAAAAAAGGAAAGACAACCAAAAAGGGGTGAAAAATAAAATAGAACAAAATCCCTCAAAAAGCGATGAGTCCTGCCGCGTGACGGGTCGCGGTATCCAAGAGCGCTGGCCGAACGCGGCTCCCGAGCCACTCGCAGCCTCCGGAGGCTCCGTCGGGGGGCCGCGGAGCGGCCGCCCCGGGCTCAGCCCCTGGCCTCAGCCGCTCCGCGGGCGGCTGCCGATGCGCAGCACCCTCCGCCGGGCTCCGGGGCGTTACTGGGCGCGGAGAGGGGCGAGCGCCTCTGTCCGGCGGACCGGAGCCCAGCGCTGCCCGCCCGACGGCTCTTTGTGCTGGCGGTGCCGGCGGCTGCGCGGCGGCGGCGGCCGAGGCGGGCGGCGGCGGGGGCGGGCGCCCCGTCCGCGGGGCTCGGTCCCGGGGCGGCGGCGCTGCTCCGCCTGTGCCGCCCCCCGCCGCGCCGCTCGCAGCAACTCGCGGCGCCGGGCGGGGCGGCGGCGGTGGGCGAGGGGAGCGGCGGGGGAAGGTGTGCGAGAGGGCGGGGAGCGGAATGGGGGCCGGGCTCGCCGCGGCCCCGCGGGACCGGGCCGCCCCGTCAGCGGCCGCTGTCCGACCTGGGGCGCCGGCGCGGCGCGACCATCGCTGCCCGCCCGCCGGGGCCGCGGCGCCCCCTCCCCTCTGTCTGTCTGTCCGTCCCTCCCCTCCGCCCGCCGTGGGCCGCCGGGGCGGCGGCGGCGCCTGGCTGGCTCGGGCGGTGCGCCCGGCGCGCTGCCGGCCGCCGGCGGCCGCGGGGGTTGTGGCGGGCGGCGGGGGCGGGGCGGGGCCGGCCGGGGCGGGGCCGGGCGCCGCGGGGGGGCCCCGGGACCGGCCCCGCCCCGCGGCCCCGCGGCCCGCGCAGCGCGCGCGGAGGGGGCGGCGGGCGGCGCTTCAGCACCGCGCGGGCGGACAGCGGCGGAGGCGGGGCCCGCCCGTCACTCAGCGCCGCGGCCAATCGCAAAGTTAACCTGCCGGCGTCCCGCATTGGCCGCCGAGCGCCGGCGCTGCCTATTGGCGGGCATCGAGCCAATAAAGGGCGGGGGGCGTGGCCGCGGGGCGGCGGGGGCGCAGCCACTCGTGACCGAGCCGTGGGTGGGTCCCGCCGGGGTGTGGGCCCGGGACCCCCGACGGCCCGGCCCGGCCCGTGCTCCTCTGCCGGCCCGACGCCGTTCCCCGTGGCCGTTGGTCTCCCCGACGGCCGGACGGCGCGTGTCAGGACCGTGGGTCCCGGCACCCGTGGGAGCTCGGGCCGAGGCCGCGGTCAGGGAGGTTCTCGGCCGGCTCGCGCAGCCCGCGGTCGCGCCGGGGCTCGGCGGCGCCGCGCCCAGCAGCGGCGGGCTCCCCCTCAGGCCGCCGCGCCCGCGGGTCCCGCCCCGCGGCGGTGCTGCCCCGGCCGAGCCCCTGACGGAGGCCCGGGCAGTCTGCCTCGCCCCACGGTGACCCTGGCGGCGGGGCACAGCCCGCCGCACGGGCGGCCTGCCCTCGGCCCCGCCGCCCGCATGCTCTCCCACGGGGCTCTTTGTGGGGGCGAGGGTGCAGGAGAGCTCAGTCCGAGCCGGGGCGAGACCTTCCGGCCCCGCTGACCCCTTTCGGTCACGGCGGCAGCGGGGCCGTGCCCCGGCCCGTGCTCGGGCCGAGCGGGGCCGGTATCCGCTGCGGACGGGCGGGCGCGGGCCGAGTTTTCGTTGAAGTCGAAACTGCGGGACGCGGCCGAGGCGCAGCGCGGAGCCGGCACGGAGTGCGGCCGAAGCACGGCGAGAGCCGATCCCCGCGCAGCTCCGCAGCCCAGCCCGAGCCGTCGGGCGGCTCTCCCTGCTGCCGCTCGGCTCCTCGGCTCGGGGCGGCCGTCGGGGATGGCGGGCAGGCTGGGCCCGGCGCGGAGGGGACGAGCGGGCAGGCAAGACGGGCTCACATCCTGCCCGGCCCCCGTCCCTGCCATGACCCCCCCGTTCTTCTCCTCCCGCTTGTCGCTCTCCCGGTACTGAGGTGAAGACCCCTCGGCCCTGCTCTCTACAGGGGCCAGAGGCGCAGAGGCTTCGGAGCGCCTTGTCACGGGGCCCCGGCCCGTCCTCGTCATCCTGCCCGGCCCGGGCAGCGCTGTCGGTGCTGCTGCCCCTGCGGCCACCCCCGCTCCCGGCCGCCTCCGCCGCGCCATGAAATGCTTTATCGATTAAACGATTATTCAGGCGATTTAACTAATAAAAGGCCCCATCGATCGCTTCGAAATTGCATTCCGCCACCGAGCCGCCAGGCCGCCTCCGCGCCCTCCACCGCCCGCGCCGCCGCCGCGCTGCCCGCGGGGACGCCGTGACGGGGCTCCGCAGCCTCCGGCCAGTGCCCGGTGCCTGTCCCGCTGCCCGCCTGGCCGCAGCCCGGGGCGCACGCACGCCAGGCTGCCTCTGCACGGCTGGCGGAGCTCTCGGCAGCCCGCCGCCGCCCCGACGGCCTCGCGGGGAGCTGGTCCCACCCCGCCCGGTCCCCCTCGCGTCCCCGCTCACGTCGGCGCCCCCCTTGTCCGCGGAGCCGCCGGGCTCCCCGCAGCCCCTGGCCCGAGTCCCACCTGTGCGGCCGGCTCGGGGTGTCGCGTAGGCTTTATCCAGCTCCATTCGCTCTTCAGGACTTGGGGAAACGGAGGCAAGAAAAAGTTTCCACGTCGTATTGCAACCTCTTCCTTTTCCCTCTTTCTTTTTTTCTTTTTATTGTTTTGTGTTCTTTTCTCTTTTCTTGTATTTTCCGTTTTTCTTTTCCTCCTTTCTGTTTTCTTGTCTTTTCTTGTCTTTTCTTCTTTATTTTCTTTTTTCTCCTTCTTTCTTTTCTTTATTTTCCTTCTTTATTTTTTCTCCTTTTTTCCTTCCCTTTTTTTTTTTTTTTTTTGTGAGGGGCTCTCTCAGGTTGGAATAATTCAACTCTTCCGCTCCCCGCCGAGCTTTTGCAGCTGATCACTGAGCTGAAACTAAACGTTTTAGGTGGAAAAAAGCCTCTGAAGGAACCGTGAAATGATTAAGAAACTAAAGAGCTCCTCGCCATGTGAGATCATGTCCTGTTCTCTAAAACATCACAAGATGTCCCCAGACGCAGCCAAAACCCAGGAAAACTCTGACATGTTCTGTAGCAGGAATCAAAGTTTGCTCGCAGCCGGCCGCCCCCCGAGCGCTCCGCCGCCCCGGCAGCGGCGGCGGCACCTGCCCGTTCTGCCTCCGCTGCCCCAACCTGTCACCAACTTTTCAGCAGACCGACTTCCCCTTCCCGGGCCGGGGTGACGCTGCCGCCCCCGGGGCCGCGCTCCCCGCCGGGCCGGGCCGGGCCGCCGCAGGGGCGGGACAGGGAGCCGTCTGCGGGAGAGACCCCTGCATCCCTCCGGGCCTGCCCTGCCCTTCCCTGCCCCGCGCCCCTCCGCGAGGGACAGCCCCTGCACTGCGCCGGGGACCGGAGAGCAGCGGCCCAGTGGAAGCGCGGGGGCCCTGGGCAGGATTTTCCCGGCCCGGGGGGCTTCACTCGGGCTTCCTTCCCTCGTACCTCCCGTTCATGTGGCGAATGCAGACCCACGGCCGCGAGTGAGGGTGGGGAGAGTTAAAGGGGAAAAAATCACGCGGCTTCGACCGCTCCCGAGTTTATTGGTTTATTTTTCAGCAAAACGACCGTGGGGGAAAGCGGGAAATAGCGGCCTTTCCCAAAGGCCAAAACAAATTTCGGCTCCAAGCCCGGCGGGCAGTCCCGCTTCTCGCGCCCACCAGCGCCTGCGGCCTCGCACCCGCGGCCCGAGCCCCTCTCCCGCGGCGCCCGCCGCTACACGGAACCGATCCGCTGGCGTGGGCGCAGGTGGGCTCCGCTCTGCTCCCGTGCCCGAGCCGCCCCCTCTGCCCCACGGCCGCCGTCATGTCGAGCACGGGGCAGGGGGTTCGGGAGCGGGGCACACCGCCGGTGCCCGTGCGCGGAGCGGCCCGCGGAGCTCGGGTGCTGCCGGTCCGGGGGATGTGCCGGGGTAGAGACGCGAGGCCGACGAAGGGGCTCTCTCCCGCTGACTCGCCCGGCACAGCCTTGCCACCCCCACACGCCGGTCCCGCTGAGCGCTAACATGGACACAACTCTGTTTCCAAACTCTATCTTTTCCATCCCGGCCATCCCTCCGCCTTCGACGCAGTCGCATCCTAAGACCGGCGGCCTCGCGGGGTTCCGCGGCTGGGCCGGGCCCGGCCTTACGGGACCCCCGGCCGCCCGGCTCCGAAAGTGAGGCCGACTGTGGCCTCTCTCCCTTTTGCTTCCCTTCCCACCAAGCTCTCTTCGCTCTCATTTTCTTACACAGAAATAGCCTCGCCGGAGATTTCCGCCGGCTCGTCGTGAAAGGCGACCTGCCGCTCCGGGGCAGGGGGCTCTTCCCTGGGGGAGGTGCCCCCACAGAAGCGGCGCAAATGCAGGGCAGAGCGCGAGTCCCTTTCTAGTCCCTTCAGGTGCTCGCCTCGCCTCTCCCGGCCGAGCCGGCCTCGGCAACGCGAGCAGCACGGGAGAGCTCCTCTGACCTCACGTAGGGAAAGGAACGAAAACCAGTTTATTGTCCTAAAAACAGGCTGCAGGGCTCCCGCCTCCCCTCCCGCCGCCCGACACAGCCTGAGAGAGACCATGGGGGAGCGGCGGCGGGGCCGCATGGCGCAGGCCAGGCCCCACGCGTGTGCCAGCGCGGCCGTGGCTGCGGAGCCGTGCGAGCACCGGCCCGCGTGGGCCCGCGGCCCGAGCAGCTCTGCGGGGTGCGCAGCTCCGCGGGATGGGGGACAAGGAGCCGTCCCCAGCCGCGGGGCCGCGCGGGCTGCCCCCGGTCCCGCTCGGCCATCCCCGCTGCCGCGCTAACGAAAGCAAGGCGGCGGCTGCAGCGGGGAGCGGCCCTCCTCGCCCCTGGCCAGCGGGGCAGGGCTGGGACCCGCTCTGCCGGCCCCGCGGTGACCCCCGGAGCGCGGCTGCGGGACCCCGGCGCGCCCAGCACCGACCCCGCGGTGCCGCGACCGGGGCCTGCATCTGAGGCCCGGTGCGAAAGCCGGCGGCTCACGGACGCCGGGAAGAAGCCGCTGCTGTGTCCACGCAGGGGCCGTGCCTCGGGAACCGGCAGGGCTGGGGGCTGCCAGGAGCCCCCCAGGACGGCCCCTGGAAAATGCTCCGCTCCCACCAGAGCAGCACCCGAGGGGGCACAGAGCCGTGCCACGGCAGGAATCCCCGGGGAAGCGGGTCTCGGGGTCAGATCACCGCGACGCCGCGGCCACAGCCGAGGCCCCCGACGTTGGCATGTCCCGGAGCACACTTTGGAGCGACGCTGTGCTTTCTGCACGCGGAAGGGTAAAAGCACAGCGAGGAGGGAAAAAAAAAACCCGTGGCTCAGCAGAATTCTGGGTTTGGAGTTTTCCTAGGACAGTTATTGTTTCCTGCCCTCACTGAAGAGAGGAGATCACGAACCAGGGCCAACCTTTTGTCCTTTTATATCTGATGCATAACGTTAGGACGTGAAGGGTTGTCCTCCCGTCCTACAACGCTCGCACTCGTCCTGCGACGCCCGAGACTGCGAGGGGCTTGACCTAACACCTGTCACCCAAAACACCTGGAGCGGCCGGAGCAGAGCGCCTCGCTTCCCCAGGTACTGGCCTCAGCTGCTCCAAGAGCTGCCTCCTCTCCCCGTATTGGAGGGGGTTGGAGGGGCACAGGTTGCAGGGAGCACCCAAAGACCCGCACCACATTTACAGTTACCTGCATTTTCTCATATTTGTGGAAAGCACATCGACGCCAAAGACGGGAGAGGGGGAGCGCTGCTACAAATTCTACCAATTCAGTTCGGTTTGGCAGCATCAGGGGAAGGGGGGAAGGAGGAGGGAAGGTGCGGTGGGGAGTGCTGCTGATTTGGAAATAGCCAGTGATCCTCTGCAGCACTACAGTCTCTTTTTCCTCCGATGTCTATCGTTTTAAATTCAAAGCAGAGGAGATCTATCAGCGATCCTGGCCCAGTGTGTTCCCAGAGAAAAAGTCATATCTGAGATGGGCATGCTAATTAGACTGAAGCAATTTAAAAGGTGTTCGGTGGGCAGTGCTGTAAAGTTGAGAGCACTTAGGTACTCTAATATCGTGAGTGATCTTTACAAGAGCTGTGCCCGGAAAGCCATCAGAAAAAGAGGTTTGAAAGAGGAGCTGGTCCACGCGGAGGAAGTGTGCTGTCCCCTCAGACTATGATTTTGCCGCTGGACATGAACGACGGGAGGTGCTGAGTGTCCTGCCAGGACTCCGTGCCCCTGTCCTGCCTAGTCAGTACAGAGAGAAGCCAGAGCCGAGGTAGCACAGCTGACAAAAGCAGCGGGTTTTATTTTTGAGAGCATGAGAGGAGGGCAGGAAATGATGAGAGACTTCTCTTTTTCAGCCAATATTCATAATAACTATTTTTCTTTCCCCTCACCTACCAGTAAGTTCTGTCTCAGCTGTGCTGCCAGTTGCCTCATTCTCGTTGGTGTATTCCCAGGGGTCTTTCTGTGGCGTAGTCTGCAGAGAGTCACTCCCAGCACCATGACTGAGTGAAATGCTTTTCTGAAAGACCTGCACGGAGCTTTTCTGTCTGGCACTCGGAGGCCTGCTCCCCTTGCTGGCCCTAAGGACTTTTTTTCTTCAGTTCACCACCATACTGACTGGGGCCTGCCTGGTTTTGGATATAAACCTGTGTCGAAGCAGAAGGCTGACCCTATTTATCACAGCAATAAATACCCCAAACGTATTTCCTCAGCCCAGTGTGGAAGGTCTCAGGGCTGCAATGAACACTTCAGTCTCCTCCCTCAGTCACTTTCACTGATCTCGAATGTGGTTACTTTGATAGTTAAAAAGACACGGTTTTAAAAGTCAGCTTTGCAGAACCTTCTGCCTGGTCAAATGCTTGCATACGCAGCTGAAAAGGAGCCAGGATCCAAGGGAGGCCAAGCCCCACCAGGTGCAGGCTTCTGGCTCTTCCGGAGAGCTCAGTGTGGAGCCCCACAGATCCTCTGAGATGTCTGCAGGAAGGCGGTGGAGCGAGGGCCTGGCCTCCCGGGAGCGCCGCTCGGGCCATCAGAGGGCCGGCAGCCCGGGCTTCCCGGCCCTGCGCAGCGGCCGCTCCTTCACACCGGGGCCAGGGCGAGGCAGCGCACCGCCCGCCGGAGAGCGGGAGCGGCCCTCGGGGCAGCCCCCGCGGGAAACGCGCTCGCTCGGGGGCAGCGGCAGCGGTGGCGGAGCGCTGCCTGCGTGACCAATGCACAGCGGGGGAAAGAGGCTCCCGGAGGCTCTGCGGATAGAGAGCGGCCCTGGGGAAACGGGGAGAGGGGCCAAACTGCTGATTCCTTCGCTAGTCGGAAGGTGCCGCGGAGTGCCTAGGGATTGCAGAGGTCTGGGCAGAGCACAGAGCAGGAATCGAATCTTCGCAGCTGTAGGTCGGGGACCTCCTGAAACAGCACCCTTGGAGTCCACCCTTTGTCGCCGTGCGCGGACTTTGATGACGGCCCGGGGTGCCGGGCAAGTGGGATGCCCGGAGGGGCAGATTGTCAACTCTCTTCTGCTTCAAGCACAACAGAGATTCTGGCTACGGGCCGCTGTGCTCGGCGGAGCAGCTTGCTAA